TCATTACATCTATATCATGCCATCATTGACCAGCAAAATGTTCCCAGCTCAGGGAGCTATTCCTAAGTCTAGCTTTCTAAGGAAGAAAATATAGGCCATCTTAGCATCAGGAGGCATTAGCTAGATAATATTCTTTGAAACTTAGCTATTTCCCTAAGACACTAGGAGAAAGAATTTTAACCTTGTTGTTTATCCAGCAGTTGCTTTTGCTCAGTAAAAAGTTCTCTAAACTCACCCTTTCTCTAACCCTACCCAGTCCTTCTCCAACCTACATTATGTTAATGCTCATTACCTGCCTCGGGTACTAAGGTTCTTCCTGCCTGGAATACCCTTTCCCTTCCACTCTGCATTAATTCCTACGTCTGCTATGACAAAGTGTCGCTTAAACAATGGAAATTTATTGACCCATAGTTCTGGAGGCTAGAAGTATGAAATCAAGGTGTCAGCAGCGTTGGTTCCTTCTGAGGGCTGTGCAGGAAGAATCTCTTCTAGGCCTCTCCTTGGGCTAGAGATGGTTATATTCTCCATGCCTCTTCATATCATATTCCCACTGTGTGATCTCATTTTAACTTTATTAACTCTATAAAGACCCTGTCTCCAAATAGCCACATTCTAAAAAACTAGTAATTAGGACTCCAGCATACATTGGGGAACACAATTCAACCCACAGCAAAGAACATACAGATTGGAGGCAGAGGGAACAATAAAGGAGCTATTATAATAAGCTAGGTGACATATAATGAAAAAATAAGCAAAGACAATACAAGTAGGAATAGAGAGGATACAAAGGTTCAAGAAGAAAAATCTAGAAGGTAAATAAAAAGGGAAGAGTCATAGACGACTGTAGGCTTTACAGCTTGGTTGACTAGGTCCCTGTCAATCACAAGATCGAAATGGGAGTGAAGGGTTTTAATGACATATGAAGGGTTTTAAAAATATTAAGTTTACGGTACTGAGATATCCAGTTAATGAATGAATAATCTAGGCTCAGGAGAAATATTCACTCTGGAGATGCAGACTGTCATGCAGGCAGTCTTCAGCATATAAATGGCAGTGAAAACTCAAGTGGACAAGATAACCCAAATAGGATTATAGAGTGGCAAGAGAAGAGAATGAACAAATGGTCAGAGGCAGGTGGAAATTTAAGAAAGAGTATAGTCATGGAAGACAAGGCAGAGGTTAAACAAGAAAAAAGTGGCTAACAGCCTTGAATGTAATAGAGAGTCAAGTAGGCTGAAGATCTAAAGAAAGGGCACTGAATATGACAGATCTTTAACTTTGGCAAGAGCAGTTTCAGTGATGCTTTAAATGGAAACTGCACAGAAAAAGGGAGTGGTAATTTAAATGAGTTCTGTCAAAGAAATATTTAGACAAGGGAAAAAAAGTGCTTACAAGCGTAAGATTAGGCAGTATGACATAATAGGCATAGCCTTTGTAGACTTGGGTTCAAATCTCAGGTCTGCCACTTACTAGCTGTCAGCTTAGCCAAGTTGCATAATTTTGCTGTGCCTCAAGTTCCTTAACTGAACAATGAGGAAAATAATAGTATCTACTTAATAGGACTGTTTTGAACATTATATACATTGATACCTATAAAGTGCTCAATAGAGGACCTGGTACAAAGTAGGTCTTCAATATATGTCAGCAATATTAGGTGGATAGGGTTAGATGAGTGGGAAAATCAAAGAAAAAGAAGAAATTTAAGAAAATAAGAGAGAAGGAAGCCAACTGATGAAACAACTTAGAAAGTACAAGATAGGATGTATCTCTCAGACTTACTAGCTGTATGACCTTGGGTAAAGTACTTTCCTGTGCCTCAGTTTTCTCATCTATGAAATAGCAATGATAATAGTGCCTATCTCACAAGATTATTGTGAGGATAAAGTGAAATGACACATGAAACATACAGAGTACTGAAATTAAAGGAAATAATGCATAAAATTTAAAAAGCCATATATTCTAAAACAGTTCTACAGTAGGGAATAGGAATGGGGATTCCGATATGGGATGGGAACAGGTTCCTTTCCTGTTCCATTCCTTTTCCACCTTTCACAAATAGGGCATAGTAAGCCTCTGTTACTAATAGAGTGTATTATATTCCTTAGGTGTATTGGGAATGAAAAATTAAATGAGAATATCTAACCTCTAAGGCAGTAGTTCTAAAACTTCAGTGTGTATCCAAGTCACCTGGATGGCTTGTGAAAAAAAAGATACTGATTGTTTTATCATAATCAGTATGACTTTCTGAGTCTGCGGTGGGGCCTGAAAATTTACTTTTCTAAGAGGTTCCCAGGTGATGCCGATGCTGTTGGTCCAAGCACCATACTGTGAGAACCTCACTCTAAGCTAGTGGCTCTCAGCCTTCACTGCACATCAGAATTACCTAGGGAGCTCTTTAAAAATCCGTCTTCCTAGCTGTGCCCCAACCAGTTACATCAGTATCTCAGAGGAGGGACAATGTTATCAGTATTTTTAAATATCCCCAACTGATTCCAGTGTGTGGCCAAGGTTGAGAATTGTTTTAGGGGAAGCCCACCCTAAACCACAAGTTTCCCTTTACATGCATATCTAACATGCACACCTATCTTATCCCTAAAAGGGAGCTGCAAAAATAAGTGGAAATTTCAAGGCCAGAAATGAGTGGAACTTTCAATGTATGGAACAGAGGAGCTAAAATTTTGTATTTGTGTGACTTGTTCTTGTTCTTACTGCATTGTCCTCTTTGGAATTCTTTGGCATTTTTCTTTTTTCTCTCAATTCCCTTCCTCTCACTCTTCTCTCCTTCTGGGTTCCTGAGACTAATGAGGTGTTTTAAACTTACAGCTCCCACTGGGAAGGACTTGGGGGAAACACAGTGCATAACTTTAAAGGAATCACGTGTGCCAGCAGGACTGAAAGTTTAAAAAAAGGTTTCCAAGCAAATAATTTTCACAATTTCATGAGAAAGAGTGCTACAAAATCTTGTGATATTTTCTTAAAGCAGATGAGACTTTTTCTAGTGCTAACAAATTTATTGTAATATATTTTGTTGAAGTACATTGAAGAGAATTTCCGTGTTTAAGTATAGTTGACCCTTGAGAAACACAGGTTTGAACTGCATGGGTCCACTTATACATGGATTTTCTTCCACCTCTCCCACGCCTGAAAAAGCAAGACCACATCCTTCTCTTCTTCCTTCTCCTCAACGTACTCAACATGAAGATGGCAAGAATGAAGACCTTTATGATGATCCACTTCCACTTAATGAACAGTAAATATATTTTCCCTTGTTTATGATTTTCTTAATGTTTTCTTTTTTCTAGCTTACTTTATTATAATAACACAACATATAATATGTATAACATATAAAATATATATTAATTAACTGTTTATATTATCAGTAAGGCTTCTGGTCAACTGTAGGCTACTAGTAGATAAGTTCTGGGGAATCAAAAGTTATACATGGATTTTCAGCTGTGTGTTGTCAGCACCTCTAACCCCTGTGTTGTACAATGCTCAACAGTAGTTTCAAATGCATTTGAAACCTTCTTTAGATAATTATGTTATAAAACAATGGTTAGCATGAAATTGTATTAATTGACATGAACAAGTTAGCAATAAGTTTACTAAGCTTTTCTTAAAGGAACATTAGATCCCAAATATAAAAACATAATCCATCTTGATTGTATAAGATAAATAATTCAAGATTCATTCTCTTTAATACAATAGAACTTCAAATAGAATGATTGTTGATTATTTCTTTTTTTTACAAATGACTTCCTGTCTCATTCAGAATAAAAGCCAAAATCTTTACAAGTTCCTGTATGATCTAGCCCCCTCTATCTCACTGACCTTATATCCCGCTACTCTTCCTCCTCTCCACTCCAGTGATACTGACCTTCTTACTATTCTTTGAATACACCATCATGCCTTTGCACTTGCTAGTTCCTCTGTCTAGAACACCCTTCCCTCAGGTATTCTCATGGCTGGCTCCCTCACTTCATTCAGATATAGCCTTTAATATCATCCCAATTCAACAAGCCCTGTAGCCTTCCTCCTGTCTTATCCCCACTCAACGTATATGTTTATTGTTTGTGGTTTGTCCCCTCCACCAACACCTCCTCATTAGAATATAATCCCTAAGAGGGCATATTTTCCCCATAGTCTTGTGTGGTGATGATACAGAGTAGATTCTCAGTATGTAATTGTCAAATGAATGAATGAATGAATATAATAACACAATGTAATTTTCTGCCAATACCTTTCTCTGTCACAGGTCCCAACCCTGGACCGCTGAGTAAGAACTAGGAAGGGACTCAAAACAAAGGAAATTGCAGAGCACTGGGAACTGTGGCATTCAACTGACCAAACAGAAACTTACAGAGTGAAATATTAGCCCTAAAACCTCAAACAACACGTTTTCATCTCTTTGACCTGTGGGATATAATCAATCAGGCTCTATCCACAGTCCTGCCACCCTCCCTATGCAGAAACATAAGAGAGACAAATATGTAAAAGATGTCACTGGTCCATAAGAGACCCTTTCTATCAAGTTTCTTCCACACCAGCTCTTTAACGGTAGAAGGAAAGATAGTGAAGCCCTCCTTCTCATAACAATCTGCCTTACTGGGCATGGATAATGCGAAAGTGGCATTAGCTTTTCTATTGAAGTTTCCTGCTCTTTCCTCTTTGTATGCCATTTTGACTTGACGTCTTATTTCTTCTAGCTGGAATTCCCAGTCACTTGGCTTTGAGCATACGGACATCTGGTACTGAATGGAAGTCAATAAAAGTGAACCATTGAGCCATTCATGTGAAAAATGTTTGGTAAATGTTGGAATCAAATTCCACACTTATCTCCATATCCTTGGAAGGCTACTAATCAGTTAAAAAGGGAGTCATTGACAACACTCAGCATGGCCTTGGCATTTATACACACCTCCCAGCAACATGATCAGCTACAAGCAATGCACCTAGCATTCTATAAATACTTGTAGAATGAATGAATTTATTCAAGTTACCTGCATTGTCATGGAGTCTCTCAGGAAATGGAAATTTTCTTTTTGAGCTAAAACTGCAGAGTCAACTGACTGCAGTTAACTAATGTGTAACTTGGCAACATTGCCCAGGGTACACCTCCTAAAAATCAAATGGATATTAGAACCAAGTTTAGAAGCTGGTCTGAGTAAGAAAAAGCTGTCCTTGCCTCACAAATTCCTTCCAACATACATGTAGTTTTATAGTAAGGTGAGGCACTGCCACCCTTCTCATAATGGAATTTCCGGTCAAATTGAATTTTCAGTGAAATAGTGCACTGTCCCTTTAAAAAGCCAGGCAAGATGGAGCTCTCCCAGCTCACAATTAGAGGCTTCAGACAACCTGATAGGGTTGCCGCAGAGTGAAAAAAAGAAAGAATGCCAGGAGGGAGGTAGTCGAGGCTCTAAATACCTGGAAGAGAAATCAAGGATCCAACCACACAGCCATCGAACTGAGCGCGCCTCTCCCGCCCTTGGCAGATCCTCTAGGCTCTAAAGCACCACCTCCCCTCCCCTCCCCTTCTTATCCAACCCCACTCAGCTCCACCCTCCGGGTCCTCCTTGAAAGAGGCTATTTCGCCGCTCAGAGGGGATGATAAAAGGAAGGTGGAGTGTAAGGTGGCAGTTTGTAAAGCAAAATGAAAGGAACTTACTTTCGGATTCTGCGCCTCCGAAGGCACCCTCTCCTCCCAGCCCCGGGGCAAGGGCCGACGGGGCGGGGCCGGGGTTAAGCTGGTGGACCCGGGGTCCTCACTCCCTCGGACTACAAACGTAGTTGAATGAAGAGTTAGGGGGAATGGGCACCGACTAGGGCCGGGGTACAGTCTATTTTAATTATCTCAAGGGAAGACAGAAGAGTGTGAAGAGTGTTAGCCAGAGGAAGGAATGGATGTGAGCTCTAAAACCTTCCTTTTCCCTCCTTTCTGGTTAGCTTCCCTCTCCCGGCATTAGCGATATCAAGGGCAATGATTTTCCTTTTTCCTCCTTTTTGGTCTCTCTCAGCTGCCAGTCCCGACCCCACCCAGCGGCTCCACCCCATCCACTGCTACACATTCTGTCAATCAGCCCCTTTAAAGCTGCATCGCACAACTTGGTTCTTCGTCCCCCTTAGGAGGGCGGACAGAATCATGGTCCTTCTGACCTTTCCAACAATACCCCGACTTTTCCAACAACACCCCGGACCTTTCTGCTGGGTTTATGAAGTGAGGTTGTTTGCTAGTGGCGGCCTCTCCTCCCGCTTTGTCCTGGAGCTTGAATACTGGGCTCCACCCAAACTTCTTCCGGCAGGGGCAGGCCCCACCACACCCCACCCCATCTCTTTACATTACTTTGTTTCCGGTAAAAGTGGTTACCAAGGCTGCCAGAGCCCCAAGAAAGTTTCTGTGCGCCCTCTTTGGCGCCGCCCACTCCCATGCAGTCTTTGGATTGAAGTGGCTACAACAGCTCTCGGGTCTCTGGGGCTTCGTTCTGCCTGGCCTGGGATGCTCAGTCTTCCCGGTCTCGTCTCTCAACTGTGTGAGTCTCCCTGTTTCTGACTAGAATGGGGAGGAGGAAGGAGGAAAGGGTGGGAATTTCTAATTCACCCCAAACAGCAGTTTCTTACTACCGCCCCACCTCGTAACTAGACAGCTCAAAGTCAGAGATTCCATCCCACCGGTATAATTGGAACTCCAGAATGACCCATGAGAAATCATGTTTAATCTCATTCCCACTTTCAGTTAATGACAATACCTGGTTGCTTAGGTCAGAAATCTTGGAACCATCCCTGACAGTTCTCTCACAAGTCTCATCCAATTCTTGAGGAAATCCCCTTGGCTCTATCCTAAAAATGTGTTCAGCATCCGACCATTTCTAACCCTTTCCACTAACTACCCTGACCCTGGCCATCACCATCTCCCAAATGGTTGGCTAGTAGAGTGTCCTCACTGGTCCCCCTTATTCCACATCTGCCCGGCTAAAATCTGTTCAACAGCTGGCAAACAAATAGTCTTTCTTTTTTTCTTTTATTCTTATTTATTTATTTATTTTGCGTTTTAGTTTGGGAACAAATAGTCTTTCTAAAAGGCAAATCTGTCCAGGTCTCACCTCTGTTTAAAACCTTTCAGTCAAGCCAGGCGTGGTGGCTAACGCCTGTAATTCCAGAACTTTGGGAGGCCAAGGCAGGTGGATCACGAGGTCAGGAGTTTAAGCCCAGCCTGGTCAGGATGGTGAAACCCCGTGTCTACTAAAAAATACAAAAAATTAGGCGGGCATGGTGGTGGGCGCCTGTAATCCCAGCCACTCCAGAGGCTGAGGCAGAGAATTGCTTGAACCCAGGAGGCGGAGGTTGCAGTGAGCCGAAACTGCACCACTGAACTCCAGCCTGGGCGACAAAGTGAGACTCCATCTCAAAAAAAAAAAAAACAAAAAACAAAAAACCTTTCAGTCATTTCCCAGTGCGGTTAGCATCCAAATTATCTTCTATTATCTACAAGGCCCTCAAGATCCACCTGTCCCCTGCCTATCTCTTTGACTTGATTTGTAAAGACCTTGTTCACACTGCTGTAGCTATGCTGACCTCCTTTTCATTCCAATATATTAAGATCTCTCTCACCTCAAGGCCTTTGCACTTCCTTTTCCTTCTGTCTGATTATACCCACGATGGGCTCCAATATCCTACATATCTCAGAAAAGCTTTCCTTTATCGTGCATGTTAAGGTAACTCCCACAGTCCAGGCACTCTCTATGACCTCATTTCATTTTATTTTTATCACAGCACAGATCACAATTTAATCTAATATGTGTGTTTGTTTCTGTGATGATGAAAGTCTCCCACTAGAGTATAAGCTCAATAAGAGCAGGGACATCATCTGTTTTGCTCACTGCTCTATCCACAGCATACTGAAGAGTGGCTGTCATATAGTAGGGACTTAATAAATATTTAAAAGAACAATTAAAGGCAATATCATCAGGGATTTATCTGGGTGATAACTTTTTAAACAATAAACCAAAAAAGAAGACCAGAAAGATATACACACCTGATATAAACCACTTTCCCTATTTATTCTTCCTTAGAACATCTGCTTGAATATCTTGCCTCTGGGCTGAGTTGGCAACATGATTAGAACAGTCACATAGTAGAAGTGTGCTTTCAGGTTGGTTTTTAGGGTTGGCAGTTGATAGCTGATGGTTGACTTGTGTTCTTGATTTAAAGATGAAGAGAAGAATAAAATTAGGGACATTGGTTACATAAAGCAAGAAGGGTCATTTAAGCAATTCTCTAAACTATGACCTTGATACAGGGTTGTAAGAGGTAGTCATTTTCCTTCACCAGTAGAAGAATATAGGGCTATTTAGTCTCAACGAGAAAACTTAGGCCAGGCGCAGTGGCTCATGCCTGTAATCTCGGCACTCTGGGAGGCCAAGGTAGGCAGATTACGAGGTCAGGAGTTTGAGACCAGCCTGACCAACATGGTGAAACTGCGTCTCTACTTAAAGTACAAAAATTAGTCGGGCGTGGTAGTACCTTTAATCCCAGCTACTTAAGAGACTGAGACAGGAGAATCGCTTGAACCTGGGAGGTGGAGGGTGCAGTGAGCCAAGATCGCACCATTGCACTCCAACCTGGGCAACAGAGTGAGACTCCATCTCGGAAAAAAAAACAGAGAAAATTTAGGAAGACAACAATCTTTTCTTTCAGGGTTGTCTTGAGCTGTCATTAACATGTCATTGATTCTTTATGCCTCCTATGTCCTAACCTCAACTATCTGCCTGTTCACAGAGGTTACTCAGCCCAAATCTCTGGACGTCTAGCCATGAATGCCAGGCAGCTCTTACTAGGTTGCTACTTATTATAGGGAGGTTTGATGGATACCATAGTTATGTTCTTAGCACAGTGCTAAGCACTCTGGACCATAGGCAAAGAAAGGAGCCTTTCAATAAATTTCCCCTTTCTCTAACTTTTTTTTAACTTTTATTATTTATGCTAGGAAATGTCTTCTCATTTATTGCCATATATTTTTCTGTGTCTAACAAAAAGTTGGTGCTCAATAAATACTTGAGCGCCAACTTAATTAAGAATGAATGAATGAAAAACTGAACAAAGCATGATTGGCCTAGACCAAACCCAACTCCTGATTTTTCTGTTTCCATTATTTCCATGCTATTTAAAAATATAGTTAGTTGTAGGCTGGGCATGGTGGCTCATGCCTGTAATCCCACCAGCTTGGGAGGCCGAGGTGGGTGTATCACCTTAGATCAGGAGTTTGAGACCAGCCTGGCCAACATGGTGAAACCCCGTCTCTACTAAAAATTCAAAAAAATTAGCTGGGCATGATGGCAATCTCCTGTAACCCCAGCTACTTGGGAGGCTGAGGCAAGAGAATCACTTGAACCCGTGGTTGGAGGTTGCAGTGAGCTGAGATCGCACCATTGCACCTGCCTGGGTGCAGAGCAGGACTCTATCTCAAAAACAAACAGACAAACAAACAACGGTTAGTTGTTTCTGTGCTATCTTTCCAAATTGCATAAGCTTCTTGGGAGTATGATCTGTGTCTTATTTATCTTTACATATTTTGCAGTGACTCCCACATAGCTTTGTACATAACAGACACTCCAGGCATGTTGACTTGAATTCAACTCTGCACTACACATGGGACCTCAGTCAGTAATGTAGCAAAGTAACAAGACCCCCAGATGTGAAAGCCAACTGAAGTATAGTAGAAAGAGGACTGGATTCGGAATGAGAAGAACTCCAGTTCCAGATTCGTCTCTGCTGAGCTATGTGACTTGAGGCAAGTTACATAACCTCTCTGAGTTTCAGCTTCTTCACACAGAAACATGAGGGACAATGTACTGCTCTCATGCTCCTCTGTGCACATATGAAGATGGCTAAGAAAGTAGAGATTCTGACCAATAAAGTACTTTGGGCTAGAAAACAGTTATTGTGGGAATTATAGAAGGGTCTGATGGTTTTGACATTGGAGAACATTTACACTATTTCTGAGAATCAAGGCACAGTTATTTGTAAGGATGATGCAGAGAGTCTTAGCATTTGACAGCAGGCAAGCTAAGACTGGGTTGAAATTGAGACCTCCCTGAAAACTGTGGAAATTTCTATAGAATACTGGTTACAAAGCAGCAGTCCATAAGTTAAATTTTACCAGCAGATCTATTTTGTTTAGTCTGCAATGTATATGTACATGTGTATGTACATGTGTGCCTGTGCAGGTGTTGACTAAACAAATTACCAACACTGAAAAATTTAAGGATATATGAAAATCTGTATTTTGATCCTTAAGCCGGTTTTCCAGAGTGCTGTCAATCTGTTGGAAATCAGCAGTGCCTGGCCCCTCTAGATGTGCCATGATCTCGTCGGCTTATTACAGCCCTCACCTGAACATTTCACTTATTTTTGTTATCAATTTGGCCTGTGTATGCATTTTAGTTTCTAACCCTTGCTAAAGAAGAAGTGACTAAGAGTTCACTGCAAGAATACATAGTTAAATATAGTATTTATCCTCTGGTTAAGGCAACACTTGAAAGCTCTTGATTATCCCTAAATGTCCAAGAGTGGTTTTCCAAGTATCTTACAAAATTGTTTTGGCTTCAGGATTATGCACCCATTTTGAGGCCATATTTAATATGTAGTCTAGATTGCATTTACAAAAAACACCTCATATAGTCATGCTATATTTTTTGTTACCACCCCAATTAGAATGTAATTCTCTGAGGATGGGGACAGAAGCCACATCTAATTCGGTTAAGTTCAAGAAATAAATTACTGCACATTCATCACATAGAAAAACCTCTACTAGATTCCAAGCACATGAAGTTAGATGGCTCATTTCTTCCCTTTAAGGACCTTCCAGTCTGAAATTTTCCCATGGTTTCCATCTCCTAGGGTGACTTTGGACTCCCTGGGAATACCCATTTACTCTTAAACACATTCCAATCTGCCTTCCTTCTTCATGACTTCATAAATGAAATGGCTCTTCTGAAGGTCTCCAGTTACCTCCATGTTGCTAAATCAAATAGTTACGTTTCATTCCTTAACTCACTATACCTTTCAGCAACATTTGGAATAGTTGATCACTGCTGCTGTCTTGAAGCAGCCTTTTTCTCTTAACTACTATGTGAAAAACCCATGAATTTACTCTTATGCTGCTGGCTGCTCCTTTTCCGTCTTCTTTTCTCCTCCTCTACCAAAGTCTAAATATTACAGTAATTCGGGCTTCTCCTTAAACTTCTTTTCTATCTATATTCTCTCTCTAGGTGATC